ATATAACCCAAGCATATTTAAAAAAACTTCATGCTTTTGAAATTCTTACTGGGCATCACTGCTCCTGCTGCTTCCCGTCCTAATCAATGATGCTGTTATTCTTGCTTCTGGAGCAGCCGGAAAGATTTGACAATAACTTGGATAGCTTTTGGAGCTCTGTAGTTTAAGTTCTCTGCTGTATATATTTATATCAGATACACATAACATTTTATTTTTCTAACTTTGAAGTGTATCATTGACCCTTTATAGCTTGCTTGCAGAAGACATTATGTTTTGATTTAACAAATACTTCCTTCTCAACTTCTCACCTGAAGTGATCCCATTTCTTTCCTCCCAGTTTCTCCCTCTGATCACAGGCACAGCAGTGGTTTCCTGATGCATTTTCATGTTCCCTGCCGCAGCTGACTGCATTATTCTAGGGGTGACAGCCACCCATCTCACTCTCTCTGTCCCTACTAGGTGGCAGTGACCTTATTACTTCTTCCCTTTGCTGTTCCTGTACCTCACAGCTGCCAGACCCCTTTTCTCTGGCGCTGCCTGACTGGATTGAGGTAGTGGTTCAGCATCAAGCAGTTGTACTCCACGTCTGCTCCATGAGAAGGTTTCATGTCTGAAACACAGCTGGCACAGCTCCACGCTGCTGCTCTAATAAATGATGGTGCTTCTCCCTGCAGCCTTCCCCAGCTTATGTCCTTTGACCAACACAGCTATAACAAGATTGGTCCTGCTTTGTCTTTTTCCAGTTAAACTGTAAACTCCAGAGCAGAGTCTCTCCTGATGTGTATTGAGCAGAATCTGCCTTAATGCTTTGAGCAGTTCCTCTTTTATCCATCTCTGTTTCACATAAGCATTTTTTTAGGCAGAAACTGTAGGGTCTGACTTTGCTGTATGTCAGGATCTGTGTGTTGTCAAATTGGATGTTACAAATGGTATCAGACAGCCTTCTTGCAGCAGACCTGCAGCCCTCTTTGACTGAGGACCCCGATCACCACAATTCCAGGATTTTGTAATCTGAGCAGATTTATAAATGCATAAAGTGTTTGAGTTGGAGAAGCTCTTTTAAATAACTTGGCTCGTGGTATGTAAAGGAGTTTTAATAATGACATTGAATCCTCCATCACTCAAAAAATACAGAAGCCTTTCTTTCTTTTTTTTTTCTGGAGTAAAACACAATATAGACAAAGAAATTCTGGTGAGTAAATTGACCTTCAGAATTGGCAGGCTTGGTAACCTGCACCTGGAAAGCTGAAGAGATAATTTGTACTTCATTGCTTAGGAAGAGCAGGGCTTGGTTGCTAATGCTGTTCTGGAGACTAAAATACACTCTCTAGTAGTGCACAGGCTGTAAATTTGATTTGTTTATTTATTCTTGAGTTGGTGATTTTAAGTACTGTCTTCTCTGCACCATGGGACAAAGCATGAAGTTGTGTCATCTATTAAATATGCTAATTTTTTCTTCTTCTTAGAAGTCATTTTTATAGTTTGAGATACACATACCAAAAACTGGGGTTAGGCAATTTAGAAGAAAGAGTTTGACACAAAATCCTGAAGAAATAGGTTTTCCTTCAAATACACCAGGAAAGATCAGAATACTGAAGACTTTTATTCTCATTAGATCTCTATCTGGCACAGAAGTTGGCATGGTGTTTGGCAGGATTAAAACTATTGAAGTGTTGCCAGCAAAGGGAACTTAGGATGAGTTCGTCAGGAAAATGAAAGGAAAAGTTGGACCAAAATTTTTAAGAGATATATATAAAATATTATTTTATTTTAATCAGTTTAGGCCTATTGTTTGACTGAGCTGATAAATGAAAATAAAGTAAAACAATATGTTTTCCACTTGTCTAAGTAGTTTATGTATAGCTAGTGGCAGGGGACTCATTTGGTAGCTATGTTTATGGTAAGGGTAATTTTCCTTTGTTTACGGGGAATTTTTTTAGTGTAAGATCTAGCTTTTGAGCAGAGAAGAAGCTAAAAAATGAATTTTGTGGGAGGGAAGCATATTTTTTTAATAACCTTTTGTTTAGAGCATCTGGTTGGAAAATATTTTGAGTTTGATGTTCCAAAAATGAAAGTGACAATATACTTTTTATAACCATTATTGTAATACCCTGTATTCCTCTAACTCATCAAGTCCTTATGAATTGGAAAATTAAACATAATGCTTGATGGTGTCAATGTAAAAATATTCTCTTTGGACTGCAGTTATAAGTTTAAGTCAAACATGTTTAAATCATAATGCTGAACATTGGACAGTAAATATCAGCATGTGTGTTTGCTGTGCAGTGACCTGCCCAGCATTATACCATCTTTCAGTTCTAGAGGCATAGAGGGAAATGTTAAATTTGCACTGTAATTGCTGATGAACTTGTTCTTCAGATATTTAACATGATGGTGCTTAAACCTTTTATAAGGAGAATAGTTGCTGAACTGAAAAGAGCAACCTTTTAGTTAAAACAAACATTGACACTCTATGTGTACTTTCAGCTAGGAATAAATAGCTTTTAAATCTATAGCTAGCTATATATATTTGTACACAAATATTTTTAAGTATTTTTAAGATGTATAAGAAAAGCCATTAACAATTCATTTTTCAAGGGCTGACAGATTTTCTACTACTCTTCAAAAATTCCAGTGCCTAAGAAATACCTTTATATGAGTTACTTCTTAATTTTAAAAATACACATTGAAGTCTTGACCCTGTTGCTTGTGTATTTCTATGGAATCAGAGAGACTGCTTGTGTTATATGGCTATTTTTATTTGTTGTTTGGTTTTTGTTTTTTTTTTTTCTTTTTGATGTATTTGTGAAGGACAGGCTTTTACACAGGCATGCAATATGAATCAGCTAACTGATGCCATGGTATTGGCTCTTCATTGAAATTCAGTTTCTTCTTTGACTCAAATAGCAGTAACAAGTAGGTTAGAGAAGTTCATAGAGGAGCCTTTGATCTTCCTAGTGGTGTGAGGAACAGTTACAGGGGACTTGCTTTCCCAGCAGAGGTTGCCCTTTCTCCAGACCTATGCACTGTCCTGAGCAGATTTCTCTATGTGCAGCAGTGATGAACTTCTCGGAAAGGACAGCGGTAGAGCAAGTGCTGTCCTGGTTATAGGGCACCATCACCACCTCTGGAATTTTCTTTTTTTGTGGACGCTGAGTCAGTCAGTCACGCTTCTGTCTGCTGCAGGTTGGTGGGTGGCAGCAAAATGTAAGAGTCAATTATTTGGGGCTTTTGTGCATTATTATGATCCCTCTAAATATGGATGGTGCCTATTCGTGTATTTGAAATAGGATTCAAGTGTCTGGTGGGTGTGTTTTTGTTCAAAATAAAAAAAGGCTGAGCTAAAGGATGTGCTTTGTATTATATATTCAACTATCATTTTCCTGCTGTTTATTTAACTTCTACCCAGGCGATGAAAAAGAGAGGGGGAAAATTGGACATGAGAAATTCAAGGCATGTTTGCCTGTTGGAATTTTAGCTCTGCCGTATTCCTTACTCCTAACTTCGTATCTTTGCATGATGTACTTTATGAACTTAATAGGACATACAAAGCACTAGCTTAAAACTGCTTTGGTCTTTTGGGCGTCTAATAATGAAACATTTCAAAGCAACTTTGACAAGGTCTGTCTGATAACAGACATCTGCACAAATGCTGGGGTAAAGCCTGGCTGGCAATATTGATCCATCATGAGGCCTAATGGAGAAGAATGGTTGAGATGACATTGTCCTTCACCTCAAATTTGTACGGAAAAACTTATCTTGAACCTTCTACACCATGAAGGAGCTGGAAGACAGGTATTCTGCATCCATAGCATGGTAACAAAGATACTATGATTTTATTGTGTAGACTCAGTTTTTTGACAAAATCATGAGGTAAATCAATACCTTGCTGTTCACACCCACTTACATCAGCGATGTTCAATGTTAAACGTTTATTGTTGGTAATAACCGCCCATCTATTTAAGATTATCTTTGTCTCCTGGGCAGAATGTGTTGCAAAGTAAAGATGAAATCACTTTGAATAGATTTCCTTTTTTTTTTGGTGTTTTGCCTACTTTGACAAGAGACTTTAAATCCCTGCAGTTCAGGTTGTCTAGAACTCAGCATTTTTATATGGTTAAAAAAAGTGTATGTGCAAAGGTGAATTCTTTGATGAAATGAAATGTGACTCTATACATACAATAATGCAATTGACTTAATTTAAGAATGTTTTATGTATAAGCCTATAATCTGTTCAGATAGTCTATTATAAGACAGATTTTTCAGGAAAGTATTGAACAGTATTGAAGTGTTTTTATTTATTTATTTAGAAAGAAGCAACTGTTTTAAGTAGGAGTCCTACTTATTTCACATCACGCTGGTTGTAGGAAGGTTACAGGTAGAAAGGAAGCAGAAAAACTAAAACTGCTCGTAAACATTACTCAAACTAGGAATGATGTCAGCTGAAGTGCTCAGTATGATCCGGTATCACCAGCTCCCCCTCCATTGGTGTGTAGTCTCTTTTTCCCAGGCAGAACCAGTCTTTAAGCTTGTTTGCCCTAAAGGGCTTTATTGCGAGGTTTTTTCTAGTTGTAGTTGAGGAATGTGCCTGGCCTGAGGATACTCCTGGTTTTCCATGGTTGTATCCAAACACAAATCCCTTTTGTGAATTTGTAGGCTTCAAAGGCTACAACTATTGGCCTTTGGGTGCAGTCACAGCTGATCTCTCCTTAAACTATCATTCAAGTAAGCCATGGGGCAGTATGTTTCTGTGATGCAAGGAACATGTATGCAATGCAAAATAATGTTAAAGGACCTTCCACTCTCTGTGATTCCTGCATGATGTATTCGAATAGCTGGGTCTTGTGTGATATGCTGCTGATTATTTGGTATCTGCCAGTCAGAGCAGCTCTTATCTTGCGTTTATTATTTTAATATAATATATGGGTATCACAGATTAAAATTTCTGAAGCTTGTGTGCCAACTAAACATCATTTCTGTTCCTCATTCTGTGTTTCTAGTCCGGGACTGTGAAGCTGACCAAGCCTGTGGCGTTATGGACCCAGCAAGACGTCTGCAAATGGCTGAAGAAACATTGCCCTAATCAGTATCAAATCTACAGTGAGTCATTCAAACAGCATGACATAACTGGTAAAGTATGCACTATCAGAAATATTTTACTTACTTAAAATGTGGCAAATGGTTTTACTTTGTTGTTAATAGATTGTGACTGTGCACTGAAGGCTTTTTGTTGATTGTACGACTAGAGAGTTGCAAGGTTTAGAGCAGGAGGAGTATACCAGCTTTCATAGGATGTGGTAAGTGATTTCCCCATCCCTATAAAATATAAATTTCAGATTATTCAGGGTTAATCTAATGAGGAAAGAAGCCAATATGTGGGTAAGGGCCACACCTTGTTCATTCCAAATAAATAAAAAAGTACCCCAAGCATTGAGAAATGTCCTGTGAGTAAAAATGTAAATAAGGTTTTTTTCATTGAGGTTTTTCACCATGTGTTCATATTCTTTTTTGCCTTTTTTTTTTTTAATTGAACTTTGAGTCCTTAACATGTAGGATGGGAAGCAAGCCCAACTGAGCCCCTCCCTAGGGCTGAATCAGGATCAATACAGCAAGTTCATTTCTGACAGAAGTTTGTTTAATTTTGCTCTGGAAAATTTTCAATGGAGGAGATTTTTACATCTCTCCATTCCAGTACTTTATGGTCCTTGAAGTTGGTAATTTCCTAGTATCAATCTAAACTATTATTTCAGCTAATGAAACTGATTTCTGCCCCAAGCATAGCTTGAGTACAGTTGTTCTTTCTTGCAATCTTCTCTTTACTGGATTGGAGGCCTCCTACTTTCCTTGTCTAGTCTAAAAAACATTTGTTTGTTCTATCATGGCTTGCCACCCAAATACCCACAGGACCTCCAGACCTTCAACACTTGGTGTCTTGTCTTAGAAGAATATATTAAAAAGCCTCATTGTGTTTTATTTTCCTGTTTACTTTAGAAGTTGATACCGATTTTGTTCATCTGCTTGACTTAACTCCTATTCAGTTTCCTGTAGTGGTAAGACAGGCTGAGAGAGTTGGGGCTGGAGAAGAGAAGGCTCCAGGGAGACCTTACAGCAGCTTTCCAGTACCTAAAGGGGGCCTACAGGAAAGATGGGGACAAACTTTTGAGCAGGGCCTGTTGCAACAGGACAAGGAGTTTTAAACTGAAAGAGGGGAGATTTAGATTAGGAAGAAATTCTTTACTGTGAGGGTGGTGAGACACTGGAACAGGTTGCCCAGGGAAGTCAGGGATGCCTGCTCCCTGGAAGTGTTCAAGACCATGTTGGATGGGGCGTTGACCAACCTGGTCTAGTGGGAGGTGTCCCTGCCCATGGCAGGGGGGGTGGAACTTGATGATCTTTAAGGTCCCTTCCAACTCTAACCATTCTATGATACTATGATTCATTCTATTTTAGCTGACCACTTTGAAGTGACGTCAGTTTAGCAGAGTAACTGGATTAATATAAATACAGATGTAACTTGGGAGTTAAATAGCATTTTTACTCATATCCCAGGTATTAATTAATCTGTAAAAAGTTTAATGTGGAACACTAATTTGTTCTCTGAAGTGATGTTATACAAAACTGGGAGTTGGCATTCAGATATTTAATATCAAGCAGAGATTTGAGTTTCACATAGTCTTCTTTCACTCAGTCTTAACAATCATGCATTGTTAACTAGTGCATGTTTCAATCAGTGTCTGTTTGTATACGTGTACTTGTGGGTTTTCAAATTTCCCATTGATTCCTGTCACTATTCTTTCCTTTCTGATAATACACGAATGATTGCAAATGTGGCGAACTAACATACCAGTATTTGTTTACTATGTAGCCATGAATACGCAAACACACTTATATGTGAGAGGTGGTTTGTATTGGTTTGGCAAGTGTTGAGTGTTAGTACATAAGCATCATGCCCATTTCCTCTAAGTCAGCATCTGTTGAGTGCAGTCCATAGGAATGTAGTCTGTGTCTCCACCCATGTGTACAGAGCTGACTGCATCCAGAGGGCTACCAGAAAAGCATGAAACCTATTTTTAATTTTGCCTAATACTGGTTTACTTTCATATTGTCTCTTTTTAGAATTAAGACACTGAGATGAAGTTGAAAGGAAGAAAAAGTTATTTTCATTTTAACACAAACATAGATAAAAACCTTATAGTTTCATTGCAGATGTGCAAAACTTTGAACTTTATAGACCTCTATGAAATCAAGATCAGTTTTTCTTACTTTACACAAACGAGGTATAAGGAAAATATTAGTACGAGTGTTAGAAAGTAGGTCTGCAGGAAAGAAAATAACTTCAATTTAGTAACTACCAAAGAAAAGAAGAAACACGATCAATGTTTGTATGGATTTTATAGAAGTATATTGTGATAATATTATGAGTGAAATCAATAATTTGGGAGGATATTTCCAGTGCTGTTGGTCCCTGTGACTCTGATTATTTGAAATCTAATATGGGGATAGAACAGTGGATTTGTGGCTCAGAAAAAAAAGTAGAGCATGAAAGAGGTATGGAAACTCATGTGACGATTAAGCCAGGGTATTGTAACTGTTTCCAGATATGGCTATGGAAAAATGATGTGATTGTTGAAAGTGTCTCAGGAATTAATGTGACTTTACAGGCTGCTTTGATAGGGAAAAAATATGATGGAAAAGAACTTGAAGAAACTGACATGAAAAGGATATTCAAGCTTTATTTGAAGATAAAATCTAAGGCATGGTCATAAGCCAGGAAAATAGTCTTGGGCAAACATATCTAGCAGTTGTTAACCGTAGGTGTTGAAAAGTGCAGCATTTTACTTGGGACTATTAGTTGCTGATTACAGTTTATCGAGTTGGGGGCAAAACCACAACCCAAAATGTCCTTTTCTTTGTGGAGATTTTATACCTTTTTACTACTACTGACAAAGAGCAGCTGAAGATGTATAAGAGAAAAAAGCTTAATCTGGTGATTTACGTAGTAAGAAAAATGATCTTCCTATTAACTGTGATCTTGAGGATGCCACGGGACAGAATGTACTCTCAGCAGATTTGCAGATGACACCAAATTGGGGGTAACAGTCAATGGACTCAAGGCTGCCATTCATAAGGACCTAGGCATAGGGACCAGACATAGGCTGGAGGAATGTGTCAACAGGAACCTTATGAAATTTAACAAGGACGAAAGCAAAGTTCCGCAGCTGGGAAGGCTGAACCCCTTGCACCCTTTTCTGCCTGGGGCTGGCTGGCAGGGAGCAGCTTTGCTGAAGAGGATGGACCTGTGGTCTGGATAGTCAGGAAGATGAAATGACCCAATATTGTGCCTTAGCAGCAAAGAATGATAACAGAATCATGGGGCAGTATTAACAGGAAAATAGCAAGCTGATCAAGGATAGTAATTACTCCCCTTTACTCTGTACTTTTTAGACTCGAGCTCTTGTCTCTTCAGTGCTGGAACTTGCACTCCCAATGCAAGTTCAGATGAGGGCCACTAAGATGCTCAGGGCTGGAGCACTTTCTCTGTGAGCAAGAGGTTGAGGAGCTGGGCTTGTTCAGCCCAGGGAAGAGGCAGCTTGGCAGGGTGGGATGGGGGAACTAGCAGCCCCCCTGTGTGCAGAAGAATGTTATCAAAAAGATGGAGCCAAAACCCTTCATAGTGATGCATGAGAGGCATCAGGCTTGAGTTGAAACAAGAGACTGAGGCTGAACATAAGGAGAAACTTTTCCTCATGAGAGGACTGTTGGGCATTGGAACAGGTTGCTCAAAGAGGTTGCACAATCTCTGTCTTGGGAAGGTTTCAGACCCCAGCTAGATAGAACCTTGAGAAACCTGATCTGCTTTGAGCAGGAGGTTGGGCTAGAAATCTGCTGAGGTCTCTTCCAAACTGAATGCTTTTCTAGTCCTATGATTTACTGAGTACCTCAGAACCAGTGAAATGCGTTTTGCGACCAGTTAGCGAGAATTAAATATGGAACGATCTAATAAGAAATTGGGAGAATTTTTTTATACACAAAATCCTTGGGTTCAGGCAGTGGGGCATTTGGTTAAGTTGACTTATTCGGCAACAGGTCAGAGGTTGTTTCCATGGTGTTGTACCCAGAGCCAGAACCAAAAGAATTTGAAGGACTAATACCGAGTGACATCTAAGGCCACCTGATAAGAATTAGCAGGAGTAGGAAAAATAGACAATAAAAAGGGGCAACAAAAATGACAGTGGTCTGAACGACCAAGAAAGCAATGTAATGGTAGGGGCATGTCACCAGAGACTCTACACCTGGTCTTGGCATTTACACCAGTGTCAGGAGACATAAAAAGGTGCTCTGACTGGCCATTTTTAATACTCATTTTATACCAGTATAATCCAGGGGGCAAACCTGAGAAATGGACCTTGCTTTCAGTATGCATTTGTGGCTTTGAATTTGCCAGGCAGCAATGCTTTTAAAGTGACTAGGGAGCTGTTGAGAGATGAGCTGTTCTTTCACGTTCTTATCCTGTACCATTTAAACAAATGAAGATCTTTGCAATGTCTCAGCGTTAACAGGAGCAAGACTGGGTGTAGAATGACTAAGAAATAACCATTTAGGGGAAAATGGTCCATTGACAAAGTAATAAAGAAGATGTCTAGTAACTGCTTATTGATGTGTGATTTGTTGAAAGAAAGGAAGGAAGGAAAGAAACCCTGCTTCACCTCTTGTTTTTACGCCGTGTTCCCCAGTGTGCTAATGCATATCTTCAGAGCATGAGGTTTTAATGCTATGATCATTAAACAAACCTCATTCTGTCAAAATAATACCCAAGAGGTACCTTGGTCCAAGTGAAGGAATTTGATAGGAGGTACTTGAAAGGACTCAAGCCTTTTCAAATTAAACTTTTAAGGAGGAAAGGAACAGGACTCAAGAAAACCTCTTTTTAGTTTTAGAAGGGACCAGAACATATGAATATTCATTAAATACCAAATGGGACCTCGAAATATGGAATATGAACTGCTACTGAAAGCCTGCTGCAAATAGCCTTAAAATCTGGCTAATTCTATAACCTCTAAAGATGCTTGCATTAAATAAGCTATATTGACATATATGAAATTCATATAAATTCTTGACTTTAATATCTG